AAGAAATGAGTCACCAGGAACATCCCGAGTGTGTAAGTGTTCTACCTTCTCCAGTCCTGTTGTATCATCCTCTATCTCTGCAGGTAAAAAGATGAGCATGCTCACTTCTTTCCCACAGTAAGGCATCTCTAGAATCTGTCCAGCAGAGGGTTTCAAGCATTACTGCACATAAATCTACTGATACATTTACATTACAATCACTCTGTCAGTGAAATCTGATTATTCAAGTGATTTATATAAATATAATAAATATGTTGGTTACCTTGCAGTTTGCGTCTTCGATGAAGGTACACGCAAAGTCTTCTTCCTGTTTCATCATCTTCACAGACTTTGAGTCATTCTGAAGACAAACAAGAAATTACATTTGACATTCAATAACATTTTTAATATATTCATTGAAATATTTCTTGGATGCAAAAGTGAATTATATGACTGAAAATGAAACAAAAATTTGGCTTTGATGCTGTGTGTCATGAATAATCATTCCCAGTCACAGATGCATTCTCGTGGTTTTTATTAAAGTATTTTGTAAAGAAGCTTTGTATGTCGTACACTCCCAAATAAATCTTATCTATCTCACACTGGGTCTTAATGCAGTCTCGCATTAATCATTTTAACTCCTCGCCTTTAAAGCTCCCTCCTCTTTAGGCCATTTTGATTGGCTGTCCCTGTTTAACAAAAGATGCGGGGCTGATCTTTCTGACATATCACGCATAGCCGAGAACAGAAAAACTGAAACCGATCCTTTAGAGCAGTCTGAAAACTGAGCTTTGACTCACAGAATTTACTTGTACATTTGCTCACTTCATGATTTGAAACTGTCCATGTCTAATATAACTAACCACAACTGCAACAGTATATACACTTTATAATGTTATAGTTTCAGAAACTCACATTTCATAGTCAGTGTTCTGTTTTGATGAGCACTTTTACCTTGTTGAGCCAAAATTGAGCATCATAAGTTTCAGACCACGAGAAATGTTTATTCCAGATGCCTTTGAAGTGGGTGGCAGTGAACAACACCAGCCTGGTCAATTCATTCAAATCATCTTCATCTACCACCTCTGTGATGTTACCTGGTGACCAAAGTAAAACCAAATGTAAACATTGAGAAGTAAAGCTTCAAAGACTGCAGCAAAGTTTTCATCCACAGATCTATGAGAACATGATGGACCCCACACTCTTTCAGCCTTTGTAGGCCAGAGAAACATGATGAGTTTTACAAATGCTGTTTAATATATTCTTTGACTATTAGTGAAACCTGAAGATATTATTCTTCAGCACAACATGTGAATATTTAGAACAAGTACAGATGCGCAGCCATTCTGGCTAATGACTACAGCACACATGTAACAACTCATTATTGAAGTACTTAACCCTTTAAACCCTGACCTAATTTAGCCTTTAAACCAGGGGTAGGCAACTCCAGGTCTCAAGGGCTGGTGTTCTACAGTCCTAGTGTTTTATCACAAGCACATCCTTGTGAAGGGTTGTTTGATGTTTGGTAAGCTTCCTGCCCTTTTTATGGCTTCACTGTGTTGTGTACAGCACAATACAGGAATTGAACCATACATTGGGTGTGGGGGAGATTACCCCCTTTATGACTAGGATGTTGTTAGAAACAGTTGTGATCAGGAAGTCACGCGCACACACACACACGGTGGATGGTCGGTGTACTCCAACCCACCTCTGGTGCTGGTGCCCTACCATCAATTTTAAATGCATTTAGACACTAAGGGTTTTCGGGAGGAGCCGTGCTGCTCTCTGAGAGGAAGCAGGAACCATGCTCTCCTGAGTTTTAAATGCACTTTAGAACAGCACACAGCAACACTACATATGAGCGGGCGTAGGGAGGTTTG